ACGTGTTAGTATCCAGGCATCTGTACTAGCCTGCCTTTGGAGTTCTGACAGGAAAAGTCCTCAGCTCCAGCCACTAAGAACACCGCCTGTGTACATTCACTATGTTCCTTTTTAAAAGGGTCCTGCCTACCTCCCCTCTCTCTCTCTCTCTCTCTCTCTCTCTCTCTCTCTCTCTCTCTCTCTCTCTGTCTCTCTCTCAATCTCTCTCTCTGTCTCTCCCCCCTGCTACTCCTATCCCTGGAGGCCAGTCTCTCCCCTTTCCCCCTTTACGATCCTTTCCCTTAATAAAAAATATCCTCCTCTTGAACTCTGTTGCACGGTGTCTTTCTGTCTTGAGCTGCTTTTTGAAAATTAGAACAGTGTGTACATGCATTGGACTGACTTTTCCGTATTCATGCAAGCTAGGGTTTTGAGGTAGTTGATAATTTTTTTCCCTCTTCTTGGTGTCAATTTTTCACTTTTGTAGGAAAGCTTGGTATAAGCTCAGGAAATGTACAGCAGTGCAAAGCTTCTCTGTGAGTGGCTGTGTTAACTTTGCAGGTACGTCATTGACTCTGCTGACTTTGTGTGGCCCTTAGACCTCGCTGGGAACTGTGCCATCACAGAAGCTGCAGGAAGGAGGGTCAACAGCTGCTTCACTTGACAGCTGAGGGCTGAGGCTCAGCTTGTGTGAGATTCCCTGGTTATTATAGAGCACGCAGGGACATTTGAACCTGGGCACTGTGGTTCCACAGGAGGCTCACCCCAGTCTTCCCCATTCTGTGACATTCTGATATTTGTTGGGAAATGCACTGTGGATCTTCTGAGCGCAGCGGACCAGTGAAGGAGGCTTTCTTGGTGACTGGTGCTCACCAGTCTGTTTTATCTGCTTAAGAGGGTTGGTTTTACAGTGTTGGCCAAATACAATCATTATTTTAGTGCAATGTAGCTGTTCTACTCTGGATTTTAAAAACACTTTATTCTTCCTACCCTGTAAGGAATGCTTTTTAAAACAAAACAAAAACAATTATATAGTGTGAAAACATTTTTGTTTTGTTTCTGGCAAGGTCTCTCACTCACTCTTGAACTCACTCTGTAGTGCTGGCTGGCCTCTCCTTTATGACAATCTCCCAACGTGCTAGGACTATGGCCATGGGCCACTCTGCATGAATATATCAATTTTTCTTCCTCTTCTTCCTGTCTGCAGTAGTAGAGTGATGTTTCTTTCTTGGTTGGAATTTTGGGGAATTATATTGAAGGTGTGAATGAGCGCTTCTTACAGAAACTGACTCCCAGGGTCCAGACTTGACTCACGACGGGTTCTTTGTGGACACAACGCTGCCTGCACAGGAAGAGGGCTAGCCTTGACTTCTGTCTTCCTCAGTCCTTATAGGCACCCCAACTTGTTGTGTGGGGTTGTGCCAATCGGTCTGTGGAGGAGAGAGTCATGACTAGTGTTCACGACAGGCAGGGTGACTCTCAAATCAGTGTTTTCTGGGTGTGGTGGTGCATGCCTGTAACCCCAGCTCTCTGCAGGCAGAGGCAGGAGGATGGCAATGAGTTGAAGGCCATGCTGGGTTCTGGAGTGAGACTGTCTCAGAACAGTAGCGGCGGCAGTGACGACTGTGGCAATGGGGCCATAGGCCTCAATCTTCCGAGACTCTCTGATGACTTCAGTCCCAGTAGTGAGTCCCAAAGCTCTTGTGGCCTCACCTCCTGCCATTGGGTGAGGAAAACCCCATTAGATACCAAAGAAATGTTTGTCCCTGGTTTTGGAGGATAGTTCCTTAGAGAGACAGAGATAGTGAGACACAGAGGACCCTCCCTTAAAAGAAAGAACAGAGGAAGTAATGCTTATTTATATGGTCTCCTGTAGCTAAGAGCATCCTTGGGTTTCTTAGGTGGTCTTTTAAAAGATCTACTTTTAATCATGCATGAGCGCACGTGGGTTTGTGTGTATCTGTGTATGTGTGTGTGTGTGTATGTGTGTGTGTATGTGTGTGTGTATGTGTGTATGTGTGTATGTGTGTGTGTGTGTGTGTGTGTGTGTGTGTGTGTGTGTGTGCATGGGTGCAGGTTTCCTCTGTTGCTGAGGTTCTCTTATCCTGCCAGGTCCCACTACTTCAGCCCCAAATGAACACACAGAGACACCATATTAATTATTAAAGGGTTGGCTGATGGCTGGGCCTTCCTACTGGCCAGCTCTGTCTTAAATATTAACCCATAACTACAAACCTATGTATTTCCACGTGGTCTTGGCTTACTGGAGAACACCCAGACCTGCTACTCCTTTGTGGTCTATACGGCAACTGATCTCTAGTGGACTTTCCACCTGCCTTTCCCAGAAGTCTCCTCATCTCCTAGTCCCACCTGTCTTCCTGCCTCATTGGCCAAACAGTGTTTTATTCATTGACCAATAAGAGAAATGTAGGACATTCCGCCATTATTCCTCCAATGCCCTGGAGCCATGAACCACCTGACATCAGTGGGTTCTGGGAACTGAACCCAGGCCCTTTGTGAGAGCAGCCTGCCCTCTCTGTTGCTGAGCCACTGGGTCCCATAGGTTCAATAGAGGACAGCAGAGGTACATCCACGGGGAAGTCAGCTGTCTCTCCCCCAGTTTCTCCTAAGCCTCGTCATTACCTTTATATACTGCAGCCTTTCATGAAAAGGTGTTGGGGGAGAAAACACAAGATGAGAAGCAGGGACCGTCTGTGTCCCAAGAATAAAAGCATCGGCAAAAAGTCACTGCGAAGATGAGCAACTGCAGGCCCAGAGTGTCCAGGAAATTCTCGGCGCCGTAACAGCGAGGGCTTTCTGCTGCTGGCTGTGCATGGTCGTGTGTGTGTGTGTGTGTGTGTGTGTGTGTGTCTGTGTGTGTTACACAGCCTGCTGGGGTCAGCTTCCCTCCTTTACAGGCTTCTGGAGTCCCCACCTCACTGTAAACTCTTAAATGCTCTGCTGGTTACTTTTCTCATAGATGTGATGAAATACTCATCAAGAGCAACTCAAGGTTGGGAGTCTGTCCCAACTCACTCTGAGGGTACAGGCGTGATGGCAGGGAAGGTGTGGCCCACAAGAGTGAGTGTGAGGTGTCTGGTGACAAGTGACATCACACCTATAGGCAGGGAGCAAAGGGACATGGAGGTCGTCTCCTTTTTATTAATTCTAAGACCCCAATCCATGGGACGGTTCTGTTCCCATTAAGGTGGGTCTTCCTTACCCAGTGAAACTTCCTGGAAATGCTCTCAAGGGCACACCTACAGGTGTGTTGCCATGGCGACTCTACCGTCTAATCAAACTGACATCCAGGAAGCTTCTACCTCTTCACCTAGAATGGTGCCTGAAGGAGTAGCTTCCCGGGAGCATGGAGACCGTAGAGGGAAGACAAGCCTTGTCCTTACGCAAACAGGAAGATGCAGAAAACCATACCTTAGTTTGGTTTAAATACAGCATCAAAGGCACCCAGGAGCTCCCAACGGAAAGGTAGGATTCAGAGGCCATTGTCAGCGAGCGGCCAGCGTGACGGCGACGCTCTCCCAGCGACTTGATACAGGAAGGAAAATGGGTTCAAGAGAGAAGGAATGTCCCAGTCCGAGTCTCCTGTGCCAGTGCAAGACAGAGGCAAGAAATCCAAGGGAAACACCGAGAGGCTTAGGCAAGCGAGCTCAGGCTGGAGGAGACACAGTGGCTACCAGACCTGAGCGTGCAGCAGAGGTCGAGAGGTCACTGCAGATGGGGGGTTGGGGGGTGGGGAGACCAACACCGGCACCCAGGGCAAGCCCCTAGGTTCTGCACCAGATGCCACAGCACTGGAGAGGAGCACTCGAGACTTGGAGTGGCAGGGTGTGGGGAAAATACTGGGGAAGTGCGGGGAGTCCGTGGAGCAGGCACCTGGGCGTGGCTGGGGTTTGCAGGCACAAGAGTGAGGCCCTTGCTTGTGGCCTATGGACCGTGTCTCCGAAACCAGTCATGCCAGCTCAGGCTTCTTCCCTGCGGTACGGGGTACCACCTCAGGGGCTAGTGCCAGCAGCTGCGTGCAAGCAAGCGATTGTATTTGCCTTTTCAGGTATTTTCTGGTTAGCGTCGAAGCTGACGCGGCTCGAAGGACATTTTATGTGCATTCATTATTCTACTTTGTTCATGACCCCCCCACTCCTCTCACAGGTCCTCCCCGTATGGGTGTTTGTTATCTTCTCTAGGCACTATTAGTATTCTTCTCAACGCTAGGACCCCCAGCTTCTCCCAGTCAGCAAACTTAGGTTTATTGCATTGATTTAATGTGTGATGTGCATGACATGTGTGTAGGAGTGGGTCTCTCCTTCTACCATGTTTGTGTGTCCAAGGGATTAAGCTCAGGTTGTCAGGCTTGGCTTCAAGTGCTTTCACCCGCTAAGTCATCCCCCTGGCCTCTAAATATAAATGTGTACACACATGTATGCATACATACATACATACATACACACATGTATACATACATGCACACGTGCATACATACACACATGCATACATACATACATGCACACATGTACGCATGCATTAATACAAGCACACATACATACATATATAGCTGGCTTACAGTATTTCCTTGTTGTGTGTACTGCATGCATGTGTGCATGCCACAGCATGTGTGTAGAAGTCGGGAGACAACTTGCAGGAGTCAGGTCAGGTTTGCAGCCTAGGGTTTGAACTCATGTCTCCAGGCTTGATGGACAATTCCCTCACCCACTGAGCCAGCTCTATGGCTCTCCATTCAGCATGTGTTTATTCTGTATAGCTTGTTGGGTTCTGGGATGAGGGGACATCTCCACGGCGCATTTAGGAACCTCATGATCACTCACTTCACGATTATAGAAAGCAAATTTATTGCCATTACCGGGACCTTTGTGGTTTTCCCTCTGAAAATACTTATTTGGCATAAAATAATCTTTTCCATGTTTTTACCTCAGATACATTTGCATTTAGCACGTCAGCATTCTTTACTTGTATTTTTAAAGACGATGACTGTTCTCCTCTTCCAGGGTAGCATACTCCGGAAAATCCTCTTGAACCGCTACTTCAAAGGTGACCATGGCGTTGGTGCCAACGGACCCCTGTCCGGGGCCTATGCCAAGACAGCACAAGTGGGAGGTAGGTGCTCTCACCCCCCATTGTAGGGTCTCACGGCTCATCTCCATGGCAGGGCTGCTCCTCATCTTACTCAAGAGACGCAAGTGGGAAATACTTCAAACACCAGTGACATGTTTGTGCTGTTGGGGTTCATGAGTCCACCCATTGAGCACTGGAGTGGATTTCTTTGTCACAATTTCCTCATGCATGCATTAAAGACAAAATATGTAGAGCATTTTTATAGAGATTTATTTACTTTTGTCTTGCACATATGTGTGAGTACCTGCAGGTGTGTCTGCACACTGTGCCTGTGCTTGGACACCATTGGAGTCCCCTGAATTGGGATCACAGATGGTTGTGAGCCCACCGAGTGGTGCTGGGAATCAAACAAGAGCAGCCAGTGCTCTTAGCCACTGGGTCACCTCTGCAGCTCTTCCTAGAGCGCTTTAAAAAAAAAAGCCAGCTGGTGACAGTAAATTACATATCGGACGTTCCTTTAAGATCTCCATCCTTGTAGTTTTTTTTATATATTCATAACTAAATTTCCCCGTGGCTCATGCTGTTACGGTTTAAGAATTTGAAAACACGGTTTGCTGCTAAAAAAACAAACAAAAAACAAACAAACAAACAAAAAAACCCGATGTCTGTGCTGAAGGTTGAGTTGCTGTCTTGTTTGTTTTTGTTTATTTTTTTCTTCCCCGACCACAGGAGGCTTCTCTGGACAGGACTCGGATAAGATGGGGACTTCGATGTCAGATATCCAGTGTCTGCTGGACAAAGAAGGAGCATCGGAGCTTGTCATTGATGTCATCGTGAACACCAAAAACGACAGGATTTTTTCCGAGGGCATCTTGCTTGGCATCGCCCTGCTGGAAGGAGGGAACACCCAGACCCAGGTGCTCGTCTGCCGCCAGTACTGTGCGGGCTGTGATCTCTACTTTTCAAAAGGATATTCTTTTGTTTTGGAGAATTTCATTCAATGTTCACATTTCCTCTCTCCATTCCTCTCCCTAACTCTTCAATGTCCACTCCACCTCCCTGCGCTCCCCTAACTTTGTGTCTTCTCCCCCTGCCATCCCAGAAGACTTTGGATGACAGTTTGTGCTGCCCAGATCCCTCCGTGTGCCGACTTACCTTCTGGAGCTTGGTTAACCTACCAGGAGCCACCCCTTAAAGAAAACCGACTCTCCTGTCCCAGAAGCCAGATCCCACCCGTAGGTCCCAGTCAAGGTTGAGGGTTCACAACCTTCCTACCCCACACTGGAACACTCACTGGCTTGGCCTTGTATGGATAGCCACAGCCGCTGTGAGCTCGTGGATGCTGTGGTCCTGTTTTTGCTCTGGTCATCCCTGACCTCCGACTCCTATGGTCTTTCCTGTTTCTTGTTCACTTGTTAATGAAACCAAGGGAAAACGTATTCTTTCAACTTCTTGCTGGCTCAAACAAATTGAAAGACCTCACAAACCACAGTTTCCCTCATAAATTTGTTTGATTTGCTGTTTAAATGATAGGGCTTGCCCCTCGCTCTAAACAGAGCATCACTTGAAGCTCATTCTGCATCAGGGGCCACTCCACAGTGGCGGTGGGCGCTGTGTCAGGAGCTCCATAGTAACCGTGAGTGCTGTGTCATGTGTACACCAAGGACCTGACCCTGTCCAGTCCCACTTCTGTCCCTTGGAGACCCCTGCCAGGTTCCCCTCGGATCCTCTGCATCAAACAGTATGCTGCACAAGCCTGGGCTCCGGAAACTTCCCAGAGAGCATCTGAGCTTCCTGACTCACTGCCCAGTAACCTGCCCTTCCTCTTTCTTCCTAAGCCGTGGAGACAATGCCTAGCGCCAGCTGGCTAAAAATCCCCAAACCTATTGGTCCCGGGAATGGCAGACAAAAGCCCGGTCAGATTCAGGACTGCGGTATTCTGTCACAGGGTATGTTTAACAGCAGGAGCCTGTGTGAGAGACTGTCTGATAGCAGGGCTTTAGGAACAAAGGCTGACGGGACAGCAGGAAAGGTACCAGTGTGGCACGGGTGTGCACTTGGTGTATACTCGTCACCCAACCACACTTTCTTTCCCCGGACCACAGAGGGCCATCCCCGGGGATCGCCCTTCATCCTCACATGGATGCTGATGGTGCGGGCTAGCTCCAGGAGCGCTGCAGACCCCGCTTTTAAATGCCAGGGCGTCGCTCCCCAGATCCAACCTCCAGCCTTGTGTGCCTGGCACCGTGCCTTCTGGTTGTCACTTTTGATTGACTGGCCGCCCTGTCTCCTTGTTGGTCATCCCTTGATGACAAACCTGGGCGATTCTGCAATTTCAGGTATCTTTCATATCCCTAACACTTCAATCCCTGCCTCTCAAACCGTTGTCATAGCTCCTTACCCTTCGCTCTACCGTGACCGTGTTTCCCAGCTCCCGTTTTCCCTTCCCTCTAACATTATTTCTGTTGCCCCCAGTGACATTGTTTTTTTTTAAACACTGTGTTATACCCCTGCCTCGGATCTCTCCTCCCAGTAAAGTCAGGCTCCCTACTGAACTCTCGACATTCTTCCTGGTGCAGGTGCTTCCTGTGCTCCAGCTGTCCGTTATTCCGTCTGTCCCCTCCTTTGCTCCCTTTCTGCAGCCCCCCCCAGCTTCTCCTGCTGCTGTCTTCACTTGGAGGACTCGGGCCAATGCTTCTCTCACAATCGTTTCCTTGTCTCATTGGGCAGAACGGACCGCTGGTTGCTACATGACCTCGCTGTGACTTCCAGGTGCTTTGGGGAGGGTTTCTATCTCGTCACGGTGCCTCTACAGGTGTGCCCCAGATTCCTTCTAGGAAACTAAACATCCCTGAAGGTTTAGAACACATCTTCATTGCTGTGCTGTTTGTGTTTGGAGCCCTAACGCCCAGTAACTGTTCAGCGGTGGATGTGTTGATGAGCGATTGGTTGTGATGAAGCCGGGCGTGTGGCAGCGGCTCCCTGGTGAGCCTAACTGCCATTGTTTCTCACTTGGTGCCTCCTCCGCGTTCCTTTGATTCACTGTCTGTCTTATGTTACTTCTCTCCAGTTAACTTTCTAATATGTGTAGGGGGTTAAAGCCCGCTTTTTTATTTTCATAGTCTTTTGTATCTGTTCAATACGTGTCATCTCCCCAAACAACACACACACACACATACACACTGGCTGGTGATACAAATGTGTAATCCCAGCTGCTCAGGGGCTGAGCTACATACAGAGCAAGCTCAAGGCTGGTCTGGTGAACTTAGTGAAAACAGGGTCATAAGTTTAAAAGTAAAAGGAGAGCGGGGGCTGTAGCTGGGTAGTAGTGAGTGTGCAGCCTTCCTGAGGCCATGGCTTCAATCTAAAGAAAAGGAAAACAGACGTCACGCATAACTGTTGGAGAGACAGTGTTGATGCAAGTCTGTGCGTGAAAATCCCCCTTGTGGGCTCAGGATACCTCACTCTGTAGGTTCTGCTTTTTAGGTTTCTGATTTGGGGACACCATGATGTCATCACCATGTCCCCAGATGTCAGCGGTGTGCTGTGGCACTAAGGGGTCTAGATCAGACCAGATGAATCTGACTTCCCCCTGTTAGTGGCTCAGATGTGCCCCCCCCACTGTGTTAGTTGCTGTGATAAAACTCCATGATGAAAGCAGCTCATGGAAGGAAAGACTTGCTTTGTGTATGGCTCCTGGGGGACAGTTCCTAATAGTTGGAGAGGCACGGCAGCCTGGAGCAGGAGCCTGAGAGACCACATCTCCATCCACACAAAGGAAGCGGAGAGAGGAAACTGGTGGAGCGGAGACCCTCAGAGTCACCTGACCTCACTGACACACTCTCTCCAGCAAGGCTCCAAATACTGAAAGCTCTACAACCTTACCAAAGGTGCCTCCGCCCGGGGACCGCGCATCCAAACGCGCAAGCTCATGGCGAGAGAGTGCTCATTCTCACCACTCGCTCCCCTAGACTCCCGCCAATTCCGTAGGGATTTTACATTTTGAAGAAGATTTACTTCTGTTTAATGTGTATGTTGAGTGCCTGAATGCATGTAAGTATACCGTAGATGTGCAGGTGCCTGTGGAGTCCAGAGGAGGAACTTGGAACCCATGAAGCTAGCGTTACAGATGGCTGTGAGATTCCATGTGGGTCCTGAGAACTGTATTCAGATTCTCTACGAGAGCAACGAGTTCTCCTAACCACTGAGCCATATCTCCAGCCCTGAGTTTAATATTCTTAATTTCCTTTACCTCGCTAGTGTTTCACTTTCCGGCTCGTGGGCTATCCGCGGGCTGCCCTGCCCCAGGTAGTCTGGACCAGAAAGAATCCCTTCCTTACTACACAAGTCACTTCCTGTGCCCAATACGCTGGACCAGACGTGGGGTAGTGGAGGCAGATAGAAGAAATTATAACTTCAAACACTAATAAAAAGATAAACAAAAGGTAGGCATTGTGGGTCACACTTATAATCCCAGAACTCTAGAAGATGAGCCAGGAGGATCACTGAAGGCTGACCTGGGCTGCTGAGTAAGAAATAGAAATAGAATATAACATAAAGGCTATTGAGTATTGGGAACCAATCTTACATACATTGGTTTGGTTAATACTCACCCACGATACACATAATACAATATGTATTATCCTAGATTACCAAAGAGGAAGCAGGCAGATGACTTAGACTTATAGACGGAGCTGGGATTTGTGTCCATGCTTCCTGGCTCCAGATTCTGTACCTTCTAGTCACAATGACTATCTCCTTTCCAGAGATAACTTTCTATATTCTTAGTCCCAGGAAGCAACAATGGCTGACCACCATATGTGAGCCTTTGTCTCTCTCAGTGTCAGCTAGGTAAAATTGTCAACTCGACGTAATCCGGGATTGCGTGCGAAGAGTCTCAGCGGGGATTGATCTGGATGAGGCTGGCCTGTAGATGTGCCTGTAGGGAATTGTCTTGATTGTGCTGGATCAGTGTGAGGACACACACACACACACACACACTTTGGGTAGCACCATTCCCTAGGCAGGGATCGGTGGGAGAATCTTCACACTGTGGGTGGCACCATTCCCTAGGCAGAGGACCCTGGACCGTGTAAGGGTGGAGAAGGCAGTGCTGAACACAAGCATACTTGCATTCATCACTGATTACGGCTGTGCTGTCTCCAGTTTCCCTGAAGTTTCCTGCTTTTCTGCAACTTCCTTCCCCCATGGTCAGCTTTAACCTAGAGCTGTGTGCGAGTGAGCCCCGTCTCCTCGGGTTGTCTTCGGCAGAGTGATTTACCACAGCAGCTGTAACGGAGGTTTTAATATACCAGCCTCTCTACCCCATCGTTTCACCTCCTCCCTCTCCTCCTCCCCATCTTCTTCCCCATCCATGGGGCAGATTCTTCCTCTGCAACACCGTTCACCCTCTGCTTTTGGCTCCTGCAAAGAGTCTTCCCTCTGGCGCTCCTCGTTGCCTACAACACCGTGTCTTTGTGTAGTAGGTGTTCATACCATCTGGTTAACCCATGTTACCGTCCTCCCTTCACCTCCCAGCCAGGCTGCATTAATTGGATTAGTGCTCAAACATCAGCTTAATTTGTGGGACCTTAAAGGTCCGTGGATGCTACATTTATCCTCATCAGAACCAGCTTGACGGTGTCAGTGCGGTTGCCATGGTTACGGTTACGGTGGGCTCTTTTTTTTTGTCCTGCTCCTGTAGAGTTGCTAGTTCTCTGCTTAGGAGCATCCCCTAACAGACATGAAGCTGGCAAGTGAAGGCTGTGTAAAACTCACTGTGTGTAGATGCTGCACGTGTCACCTAGACTTTAGAGTCGTGTCTAGGGCGGGGCCTGGCTCCAGGCATTCCTTTAGGAAAACATGTCAGTACCCAGCTGCTGGACCCCCCAACTTGCCTGTTCAGATTTTATTTGGGGGTGCGGCTGGTTCCAGTGGTCAGGTACATCTCTTCTGGAGTGCATCCCCTCCTCCATCTCCTGCCAAGTCTTTTGAATTCTCCCATAAAGCTACCAAGCAGACAGAGACAAGTAACCACAACTCAATGTTTCCACACTTTTGATCCTAAATCCTTTCTGAATCATTAATGGTAAACTAGAGTTTACTTACAATTCCCCTAAACTACATGTAAAGCATCATTGCTTATGAAGTAGCTAAGCAACGTAAAACCTATGTACCAGTGGGTTCTGGTGAGTGACGTTGTCATGGCAACACATCCTAAATTAAATGTACTATCAGTTAGATACAAGGAAAAATAACTTGGTCACCTAACAGGGAGCCCTTATGTATACGGGGTAGTCATAAGTGAGTGACCACGTTTCGCTTTGATTTACAACCTCACGTGGGAAGGAGTCTTGCCATTTTCTCTTTTTTGTTTTGTCTGTAGCAACAATATAGGACATAGTAGGCTTTCAATAGATGTGTGCTGAATCAGTGCACAGCTTTTAACACTATCAGACTAAAAGAATTATTTACTTATGACAACTACTATACTCATAATTTAAAAAAATACATGCAGGAGGATATATCAAGCAGAATATAAAAGGTTAGAATTCAGTGGAAGGTGCTAAGTAAATGCTAACTGTTATTATCAATGTAATAGCGTGTGCTATTAGTGTGTATTCAGTGGAATAGGACACTGAGAGCCTGTCCATTTGTGGAATAAATAAAAAAGACAGCACACCGTGCTTTTATCTGTTAGGCCCGTGTTTATGTCAGAATAAACCACTATGCCTCTTGCCTCAGGGATTGATACTTTAAACTACGTTTCCTCTGCAGTACTCCTTCTACCAGCAGTTGCATGAACAAAAAAAGTCAGAAAAATTCTTCAAAGTCCTTTACGATCGGATGAAGGCCGCCCAGAAAGAGATCAGATCCACGGTGACTGTCAACACCATAGACTTAGGGAGCAAGAAGAGAGACAATGACAATGAGCTCGTAGCCTCGGGCCCTCGGATGAGAGGTGAGGAGCTCCCTGAATACCCGGGCGATGAGCATTTGAGTCTCGTGTTGCCTTTTGTCATCTGGCTTCTGGGGTTTAATTATCTCCAGTGTTTCCAGTGCGGGCTTCCAGCTGTAAAGGGTTTCGGTTGAGGGCTTGACCCTAGACTAGCCCTGCAGGACCAAGCTAAAATGGAGTTTAATTGGTGTGGAAGCGACGGGCAACATGAAAGACATTTGATTTCCTTGTTCTGTTCAGCGAAGAAAACCATCCCAGACTTTCTGGGGATGGAAATTAAGCTCTGAGGACCGTGTTTGCGTTCGGAATAACCAGATTATTATTTCCAGTTAAATACAAACTGTGGAGATGCTAATATTTTGCAATTGACCATTTTCTCCCATGAGAGCTATAGGAAGTCTTAGGTGTGTGCGCACACGCGTGTTTCTTGATACACTCTTGTCTTTCTGTGTGTGCCACATGTGTGTATGGGTGTCCACAGAGACCAGAAGACGGTGTTGCATCCCTGAAAGTAGAGCTAGAGGAGGCCGTGAGCAGCCTGACATGGGCGCTGGGAACTGAACCCAGCCCTCTGGCTGAGAGGCAAGGGCTCTTAACTGCTCAGCCGTCTGTCCTGGTTGGGTTTTTTTGTTTGTTTTTTGTCAACTCGACACATATCTAGACATAACTGGGAAGAGGGAATCTTAAGTGAGAAAAATGCGTCCGTAAGAATGACCTGTAGGCATGTCTGTGGGGCATTTTCTTCATTAACGGTCGATGTGGGAGGGATCAGCCCACTGGGGACAGTGCCTTCCGGGGTTCCGGGTTCTATAATAAAGCTGGCTGAGCAAGCCAGGATGAGCAAGCCAGTGAGAACACCCCTCCATGACCTCTGCTTCATATATATATATATATAATATATATATGTGTGTGTGTGTATGTGTGTCTGTGTGTGTATGTGTGTGTCTGTATGTGTGAGTCTGTGTGTGTGTGTAAAATCTTGTGATATATCCATCACAATATGGCATAAACCTTTTCCTTCCCAACTTGCTTTTGGTCATGGTGTCTTAGCACTGCACTAAGACGCCACCTCTCCAGTCCTTTGGTGTATCCTTGTAAAGTCATTTGTGCGTGTTTTTACATTTTACGTGCCTTTGTGATATAGAGTTATGTGTCAGAAAATTCTTAAATTGACTAAATATTAAGAACTTTTCTTCTGATCACTGTGTTAACTCTTTAGTTGTTACGTCCCTTTAAGGAAATTGTTGAACCTCTTGTTAGATGATTTTAAAATTCAGCGGGGGGGGGATCTGGATTGCTGTTGTGGGGTATTTATTTTCCTTTAGTTAAAAAAGAAAAATGAGTTCTAAACCCAACTGCTTCTTGCTTTTCAGTGAGAGATCCGTCACTTCATCTGAAAGAGGGAATGAAGGGGCAGCTAACAGAGGCATCTTCAGCCACCTCCAAAGCGTACTGTGTGTACAGACGAGAAATGGACCCAGAAATAGACATGATGTGCTCAGGACCGGAAGCAGGAAGTGCAGAGGAAAAGTCTGCGGAGGAAGTTACCATGAGCCCGGCCATCACCATCATGCAGCCCATCCTCAGGTTCCTGCAGTTGCTGTGTGAGAACCACAACCGGGAGCTGCAGGTAAATCCTCTTCTCCCCGTGGGCGAGCTCTGTAGCCTGTGGCTGTGAGTAATCAAGGTGAACTTAGGAGAGCATTCTGGAGAAACAATCAGCAAAGACATCGATGCCCTATTGAAATGGAAAGGAAGGAAAATGAGAGTCAAGATGTTTACGCATTAGAGACAAGCAAATGCACACATCATCACCCTGTGGTGCAGAGCAGAACTCACACATTAGAAACAAGCAAATACACACATAGTCACCCTGTGGTGCAGAACTCACACATTAGAAACAAGCGAATGCACACTAGTCACCCTGTGGTGCAGAACTCACACTGTAGCACCACTAAGCCCCGCCGCTCTCCTCTGCCCTGTTTGTCCAGGATGGTCATCTTCATCTCGTCTGCAGCTCATGGATTTAGACTCGGGTGTATTTTATGTTTCATTAGAAACCTAGCCATATAAAGCTTGTAGTGAAAATTGCTTTGTTAATTAATGTAGCCCACATCCACAGCCTCTCCACCACTACCATTTACTCTGTCAAATAGACAAGGGCTTCTCAAGACTTTGACGACCTCTCTGGCATTATTTGTATGCATACATTGGCCATGGCGTCACAGCAAAGGAACACAGAAGGAGCCATCTTGACTGGCCTGACTGAGAGACATTGAGAATGCTCCACCTGAAGCGTTTCCATTTGGCAGACTGCTTCCAAGAAAGACACACGCCCACCATGCCAGCCAGCTTACAAGCTAGCATAGCTGGCGAACGATTTTTATTAATGAATTATAGCGAGCCGGCTGAGGTTTCCGCAGTAGGTCCTGCCTAGGATCTCCTGGAGCCTTGTATTGCCGCTAAGCAGTCTGGTTCTAAGAGTGTCTGTCCACATAGGAGATGTGTTCACTGTTGTCTAGAACACAAAGGACTGGAAAGGCAGGACAGAGTGCCGCCCGTGGCGATGAGATGCTCTGGAATGAAGGAGGAGCGAGTGTGGCTCACGTGGACCAGCCTGCCACAGTTAGACCAAGCTTCTGCAGCGCGAGCTGCGTGCCCACTCACTGTAACCCATGTGCCCTGACAGTTGTGGGGCACAGACTGCAGAGCGGCCGATGTAATATTAATGTCATTCACAGAGGTTGGTTCAGGTATCATAGGAGTCCACTTTGATACTAGGAAGAACAAATGGCTAAAACGAATTCAAATAAGTAGATAGGTATCTGTAAGTGTATTAAAACAGGGGATCCTCTCTCTTTCCTGTAAGTAGATAGGTATCTGTAAGTGTATTAAAACAGGGGATCCTCTCTCTTTCCTGTAAGTAGATAGGTATCTGTAAGTGTATTAAAATAGGGGATCCTCTCTCTTTCCTGTTCTTTCTCTTCTTAGCTTATTCCCCAAAAGGAAGTGCACTAATGGCAGATGGTTTTCTTCTTGAAAAGTCCTGTATACGAACAGTTATCTGTGCATGTAAGCATTCTGTTCAAGAGAATATACATTAAATAGTCTCGACTGTTTGATTTAGTACCTTCGTGTAGTGCTACACTACTTATTTCTTGGCAGGGCTTATCCATACATATGGAAGTGCTTCCTAAGATCCCAAACCCATCTTGCTGCCAGGAAAAGGGCTCTGGCTTTTGCTGTGATACTTCCTGTCCGAACAGGCAGCGAGTAGCAGATCTTTCATGTGTGTGTGTGTGTATGTGTGTGTGTGTGTGTGTGTGTGTGTGTGTGTGTGTATACACAAGTGGTACTCCTCCCTGAAAAGCTCAGTAGGGCTCCATGTTTCCCACAGCATGGTCTTATGGACCCTGCACAGAGAAGACATAGGGTTGTCAGGGATGGTCCGTTTGGAAGTTTGACCCCCTCCCCTGAACGTTTCACTTTCCTTCTCCTTTCTGCCTTTCACACCTACGTCCACCCTCCGTAGGTTTAAAACGACGACAGTGGAGCAGTGTTTACTATGACCTGCTCTGAAGGTGCCTCTTCTAGAGCCTGAGGGGACCCCTCCCTTTTAGGAAAAACTTAACTTAGTGCATTGCTATTTGAATATTATTTAATGTCAAAATTATCTTGAGAAACAATGAGTGTGCTTTCCAAGTTATATTTATTTATTTTACATCTCAACTGTAGTCCCCCTCCTTCCTCTTCTCCCAGTCCCTCCCCGCAACCTCTGCTCTGCCTCCTCCCCTCTGAAAATTAATGAGCTTAATTATGGCATCCTCATCCGTATCGTTATGCTTAGACATAGTCACATCCATTATGTTCCCTCATTACTTCCCTTTTTTGTTGTTTCCCCCAAGTCGTCCTGCTTTCTTGTAAAGACAAATTGAATTCCATAGTAACACACACATACACACACAGGGAGAGAGAGAGAGAGAGAGAGAGAGACAGAGAGAGAGAGAGAGAGAGAGAGAGAGAGAGAGAGAGAGAGAGAGAGAGAGAGCAAGCGCTGAGCATGGCCAGCACCCCCTTTTCCGTGTTTTTGGTTTTGTGTGTGTGTGTGTGTTGTTGTAGTTGTTTTTGGTTTTTCGAGACAGGGTTTCTCTGTATTGTTTTGGAGCCTGTCCTGGAACTCGCTCTGTAGACCAGGCTGGTCTCGAACTCATAGAGATCCACCTGCCTCTGCCTCCCGAGTGCTGGGATTGAAGGTGTGCGCCACCAACACCCGGCTTTTTGTTCTCAGCCCCTCAGTCGCACTCTCTGTCACCCCTCCAGAACTTCCTGAGGAACCAGAACAACAAAACAAACTACAACCTCGTGTGTGAGACGCTGCAGTTCCTGGACTGCATCTGTGGAAGCACCACCGGGGGCCTGGGCCTGCTGGGGCTCTACATCAACGAGAAGAACGTGGCTTTGGTCAACCAGACCCTGGAGAGCCTGACTGAGTACTGCCAGGGCCCATGCCATGAGAACCAGGTAACCATGACGCAGAGGCTCGTGGAGCCGGCGGGAGGCGCGACTCAGGAGCGGTGTGCCAGGCTGGGCCTGAGCCAGTGCCTGTGAGGCTGTCCTGCTCGCTCTGCCCGGCGTTGCTGCTTTTCTCGCAAGACACACAAAGGTGGAATTGCAGACATTTAAATTTCACTATGAAAGAAGACTCCCAGGAAAATATTTCAGATGAAAGACTTAACCAAAAGAAAGGCAAGGTTATGTTTCTTCCCAGTGTCCAGTTTTTCTGTAGATGTGAGGAGTCAACTCGCTGTCACTCTGGATCCACTGCAATGGGGGGAGTTTCACACTCATTGAGTTAGTCTGATACCTGTGTTACACACTCATCGAGATAGTCTAATACCCATGTTACACACTCGAGATAGTCTGATACCCGTGTTACACACTCATCGAGATAGTCTGATACCCGTGTTACACACTCATCGAGATAGTCTGATACCCATGTTACACACCCATCGAGATAGTCTGATACCCGTGTTACACACTCATCGAGATAGTCTGATACCTGTGTTACAGACTCATCGAGATAGTCTAATACCCTGTTACACACTCGAGATAGTCTAATACCCGTGTTACACACTCGAGATAGTCTAATACCCGTGTTACACACTCGAGATAGTCTAATACCCATGTTACACACTCATCAAGATAGTCTGATACCTGTGTTACACACTCATCAAGATAGTCTAATACCCATGTTATACACTCGAGATAGTCTGATACCCGTGTTACACACTCATCGAGATAGTCTGATACCCATGTTACACACTCATCGAGATAGTCTAATACCCGTGTTACACACTCGAGATAGTCTAATACCCGTGTTACACACTCGAGATAGTCTAATACCCATGTTACACACTCATCGAGATAGTCTGATACCCATGTTACACACTCATTGACATATTCTAATACCATGTTACACACTCATTGAGATAGTCTGATACCCGTGTTACACACTCATTGAGATAGTCTGATACCCGTGTTACACACTCATTGAGATATTCTAATACCCATGTTACATACTCATCAAGCTAGTCTGATGCCTGTGTTACACATAGGTGATCTAGTCTGATACCCGTGTGACACATTCATTGGGATAGTCTGATAACCGTGATATACACCAGGTGAGCTGATGAAGTGGGTCTCTCTGCTGTCCCTCTGCTGGTCCGTGGCTACTTACCCAGAGCTCACAGGACTCTGCAGTGTCTCAGAATTCTGCCTTCAGTGAGCTGCAGAAAATCAGAGGACTTTCTGAGCCCTGTTGATGTTGCTACATATGTGTGAGAGACCCTATATTCATCTCCAGCTCCTAGAATACCTCGTTCTACTCGAAGGACAAGTTATGGGAGAAGACAGAACATATAAGGGGGTAAAGGGGATGATGTCATCCTGACAACTGTTTAGAATCTATGAAGCATCTTGGAGCCACCTGCACAGGCAAGGTTCAGGGGCGGAGTTTCCACGTCAATCATTTCTGGACATAAACTTTAAAGATGTGATTGACACTAAACATCAGTGTAGAAAGGAAATGTGGAAAAGGTCAGCTTCTCTATTGCAGATTGTATGACTGTCCTCACACCTACTGTGTCTGTGAGCACACATATGTCTGAACACACACGATATGCATGCATCCATGGGTTCATATGGTGGAAACACATTGATCATATAAGGTTATTACTTCCTTCTCTGTAATGTGTTTGTGGCACTAAAAGGGTTTTCAGATCTTTCCCCCTAATTTTCAAGATTATATTTTAGTTTTCTACAACAATGACAAAGAGGTCCTTGGCTGCTGATTCCAAGTACACATTCTGAGTTTGGTCTTGATAAAACTCTATGGTAGAAAATATGGTATTTCAGTAGTTTTCCATTTTGTGAAAAGCCTGTCTGAGCGTTCCTTACTTTGTGGTAATATCAGAACTAAGTTTTGAAACTCCTTAATGAAGCCAAGTAATTCCTCGGTAAAAACGTATAATAAAATAACAAGTCCTACCTGGGTTATTCCCCATGCTCTGAAAATGTGTGGAAGGTCCATTTGGCAGGTGTTCCCATGAGCAGAAGCCTCAGGACTTAATGTCAGTGTGGGACGGGAATACCTTTCCTCTGCATGAATGTCCAGGCCAAGCCGTCCTGTTGGCTGGGGCTGTCCTTTCTTGTGTGACTCACCGGGGTGTCAGCTTTTCAAGCTACTCACATGGCTTAGAAGTCCTCCTGCTGCTTCCATAAAATGAAGCTTGAAATCCTCACACAGTGGTCCTTCACTCCCCCCCCCCCCAGCACACACACACTGCTCTCTGGGGGTGTTTTTGTACTTTGTTCAACCACAGCCCTCCACAAATATGCAAGTCCAAGAACCTTGTGAACTTTCCCGCCACCCAGGACAGGAAGTCTCGTCTGCTCTGAGTTTTGTGAAATTCATAATACAATCCCATTTTTCTTGTCCTCTTTTGTTTTGGTGACTGGGGGGAGTTTTAGCTTACCCAGTCCTCTTTGAAATTCCGCAGGTTCTTTGTGTCAAAGATAGGTGTTTTTCACAATGTGTTAGTATTTTGTGCCCAGGCAATTAATAGACCCCTCCCCAGAAAATAACTAAAATGTCCAACATCGTCTGTACCTGGTACTTGAAAGTTTCAAGTCTTCTGTGACCATTTTTGGTGCTGTGTCATGATAGCCAACTTACAGATGTCTCCTTCTCTAGACCTGTATCGCCACTCACGAATCAAACGGCATCGACATTATCATCGCCTTGATTCTGAATGACATCAACCCTCTTGGCAAATACAGAATGGATCTGGTGCTGCAACTGAAGGTAGTGTCACGCCCAATACTTTCCGTGTGTGCCTCCCGTTCGGAGTGGATTCTAAGTCTTGAAGTGATTGTACAAAACACCCTCTCAACCCAGAGACTTCGAATGATTGTACAAAACACCCTCTCAACCCAGAGATTTCGAATGATTGTACAAAACACCCTCTCAACCCAGGAACTGACAGGAGAGGACAGCGAGCTCACGGGGCACTCACTGAGCCAGGGAAAGCATGATTCACCCGCAGGCCGTAGTCATTGTGAGGTTCTGTGGTAGAGATGTTGAGGCTGTCCCTCACCTCTTCTCTGTTTTAACTTGCTGTTTTTCATTACAAACAGAAGTGTAAGGTGTTGGAGATCCACTGTGTCATGGGTTTTTAATCTTCCCTGGCTTGAGAATTCCCAATTAGCTAGCATAAAGGAATGTTGCATTGTAGTTTAAGGCTTTCTTCCTTCTTACTGTGTGATATTAGCCACCTCCCAATGATAGTGTTAATATTGAGCCTGGTATATACTTCCAGGAAATCCTATCTATCAAAATTTAGGTGCATAAGGGCATTCAAATATTTTTTTGTTCAAAGGAAAAGGGATAAACAGATAGAGACCCATAACAACATACATACATCTTACATGCTAAGAAATGATTTTCAAGTTAGATAAGTTACTTGAGGCCACATTATGGTGTTGCGTGTTTATGCTGGCGAAAAGCAAACCCAAGGGCTAAGGAAATGCTCGGTAAAATACAGCATTCAAGTTTGCTCTCCAGAAACCATCTGAAAAAGTCAAGTGTGGTGTAAGCCCTTTAACCCTAACCCTGAAGAAGAGCACCTCTGGCAATCTCTGGCCTGACGACACAGCCACTCATCAGTGAGCTCACAAGGCCAGGTAGAGGGCATACCTAAGAGATGACTCAGCCTGTCCTCCGGCCTTCACATACACAGCACACATAAGCAAAACTCTGCACATGGGTACCAAACTGTTTTTGGGGGGGGGTAAAGCCAGACCTATCCAACTTGAAGACAATTAGGTTGAACTTTGTACAGGTAAGTGGCCCAGGAGAATCCAAAATGCTGCTGTTTGTATGTGGTGGATTGTATACAAATCAACTACTGTGAATGCTGTGCTGGGCTCTATTTGTGTTTTTACTGCTATTATCCATACTGTGTAGAAGATCTAACACCCCTGCTCTCTCTCTCTCTCTCTCTCTCTCTCTCTCTCTCTCTCACACACACACACACACACACACACACGTCACTGCCATCTTGTGCCTTTGCTTCAGTTTGTGAGTACCTGGTGTGTGTGACAGGCAGCCTAACTGGAGTCACTAAAAAGAGTTTTTCATTCTCTCTTAAATTCAATTTTAACTGTAACTCATGAAGACTCAACATCCAAAGGCCTCCTCCTTTGTCTCCAAGGTTCTTTGTTTGTCTAAAGGCTATGTTTTAAAGTCTGACTTGTCAGTCACATGGCTCTCTGTAGGGAGACGTTGAATGACTCATCGACTTAACACCCGGTGTAGGCACAAATCCAGGTCTCACTCTGAAAAATTAAATAATGATGTAATGAACCAAAATACTACGTGTTCTAACTAAAACACTTTAAAGTGGATCACTTTATTTTTATTTATTTCAGTAGCAAAATTCATTCAAACATAACGGCAGTCAGATATATCAGGCTACACCTAAAGCAACACAGGTGTTTGTTTCTCTTGAAATACTTTAAATGTGGTTTTATACTTAGGGACTCTGATGAGTGTACTTTCTAAATCTAAAGATTTTGTTTTATTATTATTGCCTGGTAAGAGAATACCTGTAGGGCAGAATTATACATGCTGGCAAGTTTAGGAAACTTCATGAGATAAGGCACTGTAAATAATTATTTAGTAACATTTGATGGCTTAATTATCCATAATTTTAGTACTATACCTTCAATAAAATATAACACTATGAATATATACCATGTGACATAATATAATTTAAATATAATATTATACAGATTACAGCTTTAAACATACTTTATATACTCATTTAATATTATGGCTTAATAACTTTCTGAGATGCCTGTCTCTCAGCCTTCACTTGGTATTTTTGTTTTTGTAACTGGTCTATGAGGAAGACTCCAGCTTCCACTGGAAGGAAAAATCCCGCTAACAGGAGAACTTATGTTGGGTTTTTCAGTATATCCAGACTCGTGTACTTCCAAATCGGTTCAGATTTCAGAATGTCATTTGCAAGATTTCTTTCTATTCTCACCAAGCACCAGAAGGAAAATTGTTTGAAAGCACCACACTGCCCGTGGCATTGGGGAACTGGATACATCTCAAAGCCCTTTCCCACTGACCCTGCAGAGAGTGGCGCATCTGAGAACACGCCCCAAGCTGCCAAGTCATAACCTCTGAATTCTGAGGGGTCTACTCACATGGGACTAAGGACCCATCATCTCCTCTAATTCCTAAACCATATTTTCTTTAAACATGTGTTGTTTGGAACCCAGGTTATAAAAGTGGATTGTAGCATTTGAAAATATTTGTAAAATACAAAGTGGGGCAGAAAAAAAGTAGAATTCCACTCCTTGCACTGAAATCCCTCGCAGTGGCTGTGGCATTGCTGTGACCCAACGTCACCCTTGTTATCTTCAGAGTCATTAGGTATCCCTTTAAAGGTGACATCAAGCAGTTCTGGGAGCATTGGATAGAATGTCTAACAAGAGTTAATTTACACGATCTTATCAATTAGTGCTTTGTCCTCCTACAACAAACACGGATTCAGCTCAATTATTTCATTTTAAAACCATGAGGACTCTGAGTATCTTAGACATGACTTTAATAACCCCTCATAACACACACACACACACACACAGACATATACACACATACACACATATACACACATGCATTCACACACAGACACACATACACATACACATTCATGCACACACACACTCATCAGGCTTTTGGATAGAGTAAGGTTTTATCTCAGTGAGGACAGAGTATTTCCAGTGGTGACTCTCTGGTACCCTTTTAGCATTGAAAATTGCCTCATACTTTGATATCTTAAGCAACAGTGTTTGAGGTAGTGTGTTTAAAAACAAAATTATAACAGCCTCAACTGCTTTAATTCTTCATTAAGAGAGTAGTGGAAAATGCTACTCAGCATGTGGGGAAGTAAATGAGCTGTCACCAAATCACCTCTATATTTCTAACTCAGGAATTTACAGCTTTTCTCACTGATGACTCATGAATTTATGTAAAGTTTCAATAGGATAGCAATATTATTACTTCATTTTAAAAATAGTTGTACTGAGTTCTTTATATGTATACCATGTCCATAAAATGCCACTGATTGCTGTTTCTCTGATTGTCTTGTTAAAATGTCATCGTAGAAATCCAGTTTAAAAAGCATTAGAAGAAAATATATTTCTATTTTAGTGTCTAGTCAGTCGTCCATTTAAAACACCTGTAATTTTAAAATATCCCCCCCTTGTAAGGGCAGTGGTGGTGCATGCCTTTAATCCCAGCACTCAGGAGACAGAGGCAGGTGGATCTCTGTGAGTTTGAAGCCAGCCTGGACTACAGAGTGAGTTCCAGGGCAGCCAGGACTGTTACACAGGGAAACCCTGTCTCAGAAAAAAAAATCCTCATAAAATAACCCCCATCTTTCATGACTTGTTACTTTTATTTTGTATTGACAATGAATAAGATATTCTATTTTCCATTAGTAAGACAAAATAAATAAGAAGTCTCAAATTTCACCTGGTTGAGAAAACACACAGAGGCCAGCGCTGTCAGTTAACTCGGATGCCAGGGGCTGTTAATCTGGGCTGTGGACTTTGTGTATGTACTAACCCTGTCCTTGTCCCCAGAATAATGCCTCTAAGCTTTTGCTGGCCATTATGGAGAGCAGACACGACAGTGAGAACGCAGAGCGAATTCTCTTCAACATGAGACCCAGGGAACTGGTAAGAACACTTGCCCAGGCCGTCTGCTGGGGGTAGCATCTCTTACTGCTGGGGCAGGGCTGTCAGGGGCCTTCAAGATGTTAGGGGCAGCATCTCTTACTGCTCGAGTGGGGCTGTCAGGAGCATCAGGGCCTGAACTCGGGGAGGTGGTGAAGAACCATGTGGCTCAGGCCTGTGGACTCACCAGGTTTTATTTTAGAATTAGTTTTCCCTTTTTACTTATGTGCATGTCTATTCATGCCTATGTATGTCACACGTGTTCTGGTGCCCTCAGAGGCTCAAAAAGCATGTCAGATCCCCCTGGAGCCAAAATTGCAGGCTGTTGTACATGCTTGGACATGGGTCCTGGGACTTGACCTGGAGTCCTCTGCAAGAGCGGGAGGCACACACTTAACCCAGAGCCATCGCTCCAGTCTGACTTGGCCAGTTTTAGCCACTTTAAGCACTTCTCTTTGCTAAATTTCTACCACACTCTGCTTAACTGTATACAAAAAAGAAAAAAAAAGAAATATCTTGGCTTTGGTTTAATAATTTCTGGGTATAGTTGTCTGTAGTGGGCTCAGCCATATAGAGTCACAATTGTGGGTGGGCGGAAAACATTTTTTAAAGGCCCACTGTGCCGACACTTACAGGCTCTTACCCTATTTTCTCCCATCAGTGCGATGATTTACATAATGTTTGCATCACATTACCTATTGCAAGCAACCTGGAGATGATTTTGAGTATACAGGAGGGTGCAAATAGGTGCATAGTTTACATGCGGGTTGCTCCAGTTTATAGTGGTCCTTGAGTATCCAGAGGTCGGAATCCTCAGGAGGTACTGAAGCCAGTTCCCCAGGGATACCCAGGAATGACGGTTTGTAAGGGAGGTCTGCAGACCATGTTTTCCACACCCCCAAGTTTTGTTTGTACATTTCCAGAAACACAGATAAATTTGTTTGTATGTTTTGTGCACCATTCTCATGAATGAATTGTCACAGAACATCTGGCCCCAGAGAAAGAGGGAGACATGACCGTGACTCCGCGAGTACGAGTTAAAAGCTACACTCCTCTTCCCTTCTGGGACACAAACAATGATGTCATCCGGGCATGCTTCAAAAGCAATGGGTTCCAGATACCCGGAGGGCAGGCTTAAGCTATGCTGCTCGGCACATGCCCCCCCCCCGTGACAAAGCCTTCTTGTGTGTCAGTGAGGCTGCTGGTGCTATGGGGAGTCCTAGGGAGGCTGGTGCCACACTCTCTGGACTCCCTGGTGTGGGTTGGATTCAAGACAGATATATGGAGAGAGAAAGCATGCCGTTTGGCTAAGCCTTATCTCTACAGGCAGTAGAGTAAGGAGACTAGGAATTGCCTACTCTCTGGGTAAGGGGGATACGGTTATGTATTTATTTGACAAAGCACCGTGCACCCGCTTTGAAAAGAGTCCCCTCTGGCATTTTCTCCTGTTTCTATCATCTGCTCCTCCTCCACGATCCACCCTCAAGTGGAGTTAGGTGCTTCCCGCCCCAGACCTGTCATACCATAGGAACAGCACACTTCTGACCCTGCTGGGTAGCAACACCCTTGAGCAGAGGCACTCTCCTGTCCACATGGACTCTCCAGAGCCCAGCACCGGGACCCGCACCCTGTCCCCGGCTCCACCCTTGAGTGCTCGGTAAACAGTGGATGTTTTCTCAGGATTCCAGACTCTCTTAAATCGCGGAGACCTCAGAGTGCTAGTGTTCAAAGACAGAAACAGAAGCATTCGCCGTAAACAGGGAGCATTGTCACAAAATGTGATCCCATGCTCATTTAAATAACTGCGGTTTACAAAAATATCTTCAAAAGTATTTTCTGTTAGTAGATATCATTAGTCTTATTATGGCATTTTTTGCACAAATAAGTTGTGCTAGCTGGATTTCCCCTGCTGTGATTGACACCGTGACCAAAGGCAGCTTTGGGAGGACAGGGCTGATCTGGCTTGCACTGCTGGCTTGTGCCCTGTCTCATGTTCATTTACACAGCCTATGCCAGACCTGCTTAGGGATCTTACCAGCCACAGTGGGCCGCCCCCCCCACATCAATCCCCAATCAAGAAAATGCCCCATAGGTCCCATCTTCGGGAGGCAGCCTCCCCTCCGAAACTCCCTCAGATAACTCTAGGCTGCGTCTAGTTGGCGGTGGAAGCTAAGAGATAAGCCATTACGCTTTTTTCCTCTTGGTCCCCTTCACGTTGTCTACCCCGTCGTCTTCCCCTTCGCTGGCTTCCCCTTTCCACCTCGGATACCCGCCGCCTTCATTTCACGCGTGTCCCGTTACCCCGTCTCACCCACTTTCTCCTCCCTTAGCTCTCTCGCTCTACCTTCACATCCTACAGATCGGCACGTGCACACATTTAAATCTAGAGCCTGCACATGAGAGAAAAAAGATGCAGTATCTGTTTACATTTAGAGCTCTCATGTTTCTGGCTGTCCTGAAGCATCCCAACTCACAAACAATATGATGTGTTGCTGCCACCTTTCAGACCCTGTTCTCAATATTTATTTATTTATTACTTACTTATTCATTCATTGTTGCTAGGTGGATGTGATGAAGAACGCCTATAACCAAGGACTGGAATGCGACCATGGGGACGAGGAAGGAGGGGATGACGGCGTTTCTCCGAAGGACGTTGGACACAACATCTACATTCTGGCCCACCAGGTACCAATCTTTATCTCCATGTGTCTTGCCTACCCGGTCACAGTGTCTCATGCCGATGGCTTATAATTATATTTACCTTCTGGTGTCCTTGTTCATTCAGCAACCCTCCCCCCTCCCCTTCCTTGGCTTCAGTTAGAGAAAACATATAAGTCCTCTGAATGCCCGATTATGCAATTCAGAGCCCGCCAGGGAGCCATTGACAAGAAGAGGAGACTTAGGGGAAAACTTCTGCCTGGAAGAAGTAAGTGGCTCACAACAAAGCCTCAGAAAAGGGGTGACAGGCTGCTGAGGATGTAGGGTCTGAAGAGGTGGGTAGGGGTAGTCCACAACTTAGCCAGGGCTAGCCCAGAGAGAGAGAGCTCAGTCCTTCAGTCGTATTGACAAACCTTTGATAGAATTTTGCACCCCCTCAGTGCTCACCACTGGACTTCCAGCATCTATAAGCTATGTCTTAAATTTCTTCAGAGTCATGTTTTCGATTCATTGCTGGTAAGTGCCGATATTTGATAGCCATTGTTCGATAAGCCCACTTCCACAAACACGATTGATTTTAAACTCGCATCATCTAACACAGACAGGTTCAAAATGTAAAACCCTAAATGTGCACACACTGACTTGCTTTTTGTTACCAATGGCCCCTTCACTTTGAGAGAATCAAGTTCAGGCTTTGAAAATGTCTCAAACCTCTCCTGTCTGCTTTCACATTCATCGGATCTGTTGGTTAAACGGATCTGGTTGATGGGAGGTCAGATTCTAAGTAGGTCTAGTTTTAAAGGTTGTTCTTGGGACATTTCCTGTACCCTTCTACCTTCATAGGATCACCTAATGGATACAAACTTGAATAATGTTGTTTTTTAAGTCATCAAGGAAGGAACCCAGTTCTAAAAGCTGCAACACGGGGCCTGCTGCTCTCTTGCGATGCAGTCAATACCTTGAGATCTGCAAGGTTTTCAGTCTGTCCATTCACAGGGCGAGGGCAGCCGAGTTACAGCTGTGGAGACGGAAAGGCATTTTAGGCCTTGAGGAACCAAAAGCCACGCCGAGAGACAAGCTGAAGGAAGTGAGAAGGCGGAGATTCAGGGTGTGGGAAAGTCCCATTTCAGAGAAAGAAAAGTCAGGTGACAGAGTTGATTCAAGCTAGGAAAGAAAAAAAAGAAGAGTAGAGAATGAACTTGAATGTGAACAGAAAAAAATAACCCCCAGGCTAGAATGAAAGTCCTAAGGCGTGCCACAGGGGACACAGAAACACAGTGACATAGTTAGTGTGTGTCTGAGGCAGAGGGTTGCTGCAGAGTCTGCAACACCTTGGTGGGGGGAAGCAGAGAAGGTTGGGGCAGAGCAAGCAGCAGGGGTCACCATGGGGGTGCAGAGCAAGCAGCAGTGCTCTTTTCTAAGAGGAGTAGAGCCGCCTGCACGTTCTTCACTGGAATTTGGTCTTCCCCTGCCGGTGAAGGCTGCCCCTCAGCGTGGGTGAGCGGCTGCGTGCATCAGGCCTGGCCTTGTACATAGGACAGGGGACATGAACCCACAGTCAGGCTAAACCAGCAACACAGTCGCAGGTGTTGGATCCAGATCAACCCCCATACCCTTGGCGTCTCAAGACAGCCAGCAGGAGAGTGGACAGCAGAACGTCGGAGCCAAGATTCGTGTTAGCTCAGCTCCGTCCTAGTAGACTGAGCTTCAGAGTAGAAAACACTGGTGCGAGAGCTGGCCGCAGAGGGAAGGAGGAGGCACGGCTGACACAGAAGCCAGGCAGGGAGCGGGGCAGCGCACTGGCAGCAGGGGAAACCGAGGCCCCGTGAAGGTCACTGGTTTTGATGGATTTGAGCTGGAGGACAAATCCATTCTTGGAGAGAGAAAAAAAATGTGTTCAAAGATGAAAGAGCAGGAATTCAAGCCACCAAAGGGTCACCAGGGATCAAAAACAACTTGCAGAGAGGAAGTGGGGAGGCAGCAGATGCGGAAATGGCTGCCCCCCCCAGACGACTTTTACCAGACTTCCTCCAGACAAGACTTTGGAAGAGCAGTCCTTTGCAGAACAGCGAGGGTAGGCTGTATAGCTGCATAGGGGAAGCCGGGCTTCCGGAGGGAGAAAGGACCAGGCTGAGTAAGGGAGGAAGTGGGCTCTGGACTGCAGGACGCATTAGCCTTGTGGTTTATCCAAGCAGGTCCCTCTTAGAACCAGAGAGTCTGTAGGAGCGGACTCACAGAGTCCACACAGACAGACTCACAGACAGACAGACAGACACACAGACACACAGACAGACAGACAGACACCCGTCAGTGGTTCTGCTGGTGTGTGTAACTGACGGTACAGCCTCCGTCCTCTCCCTCCCTTTAGTGACACAAGACCGTTGTCCCCTTGCGAGGGTGTGTCGCTTCCTTCTGGAGTTAATTATACCGCTAGTTTCCCCTGAGATGTTAGCAACTGAGCTCTTTTGAATCTTCCGTGTGTGGGTCCTCTGGCTGGCTTTCGGCTGGGGTGTTATTGGGTCCCTCGTGAACCTGCTATGCAAGCAGCTCATGCACCGAGGTGCACGTGGAGTGAGCATAAGATGGCCAGGTGTTGCCCTGAAGGGGACCAGAAGCTGTGCAGGACGGTGCCCAGATCCAGGCTCTGAGGTCACCTGCGGGGGTGGGGGGCAGTGAGGCACTCAGGCAGCTGATGACCTTGCAGATTCGAGAGTCTGCCCCGCACAGCCCAGTCATCCCAGGACCGAGCTGCAGCTTCCTCCTGCTTTACGATAGTCATCTTCTGCGCAGACAGTGTATTTTGGTGTCGCAGACTTTCGGTTTCTGTTGTGAGTGCTTTTCACAGCAGGCACAAGGTTCTGCTTTTCCATCCTCCCCCCCCCACCCCCCATCCCTCTGGGCCCTTCCTGTGGCCGGCGTTACAAGAAGCAAATAAATGCTTCTTGTAACTGTCTTGCCTAATCTACATAGGGCTATTAATACATCGCACAGGGAAATTCTTCGGCTCCGATTCTGCGGTGCTGTGCTGTGAATTCCCTTGGCACTCAGCAGCACGTCCTGGCTCTGCCCTCCCTGTCCCCAGGGCTCTTCTGTGCCCTGCTCTTGCTGTGTCGTGTTTTGTTTCGTCCCCATCCCTTCTCTGTCTGGGGTTTCTTTTGAAAGCAGTTACCACCCGCCCCGCCCAGTGCATTTCCCACTCCTTCATGTATGCTCATCACGTGTTAAGCTACATGGATGGTTCCTTCATGTATGCTCATCCCTTGTTAAGCTACATGGACAGTTCCTTCATGTATGCTCATCGCCGCTTTAGCTCCATCAGACAATTTGTCTTGTTGTCTGAGTCTCTTCATTTGACTCTTACCTGAAATCAAATGTATATGGCTCGTACCTTTAGAATCCCCAATCTCAGGAGGCTGAGGCAGGAGGACTGCTGTGAGTTCCAGGCCAGCCTAGGTGCCAGCAGGAGACCCCATCTGAAAACACAAAATAGCAGAACAAAATACAAGAAATAGATGAAGAAATGTTAGATGCTTTGTGGGCAAGAAGATGCTTTTAATAGTAAATCGGTGGAAAAATAACAATAGTGGTCACTTTAATTCGCTGCTTGAAGGTCTTCTCAAAATTTTTTCCGTGAGCTTTTTCCTGAATGGCCTTTGAACATGTAATTTTAATGACTACATGATTAGACATCATTTGGATGTTCTATAATTTATTTAATCACTCCTTATTGTTAAGTATTTAGGTTTCTGATATATTTGATATCATAAATTATGCTGTGATTAACATCCTCGTACATTAATCTTTATCCACCATGCTGACGGTTTTCCTAGGGTAAATCTCAAGAAGTTTAATTACTGGGTCATAGGAACTACCCTATGCCTCTTGACATACATTGCATAATTACTTTCCACAGCGTGTGATGGTTCTTCTTTGTTGAGCCCTAAACTTAGTGTCATTGCACAAAAAGTCTTTGCTGAGCTGAAACTGTCTGGAGTTTGTCTCTCAGCCCACAGACTCCTGTTGATTATGTTGGCTTGTAGGATGCATAGGGAGATCTCACACTTCCTTAGCGGTGATTCCTAACCTTCCTAATGCTGAAACACTTCAATACAGTTCCTCTTGTTATGGTGACCCCCAGCCATAAAATTATTTCAATTGCTACTTCACTACAGTTATGAATCGTAATGTGAATATCTGTGTTTTCTGATGATCTTGGGCGACCCCTGTTAAGGGGTCATTTGACTCCCAAAGGGGTCACGACCCACAGGTTGAGAATTGCTGTTCCGAGGGGCCTCTAAAATGGGCCATCTGTCTGTACGCTCTTTGGTTCTTTGATCCTGTGTATCTTTCCTGTGGATTACTTGAAGGTGTATTTCTCTTTTATCGGTTCTCCTTTGTCTTACAGAGTTTTAATTAGGGATCATAGCCATTCATCTATCATATTGATTACATCTATTTTCCAATTCATTGGCCTTTCAGTGTTTTAATATCTTTTTTGTCCACTCCCCTGGGGTTTCTTTGAGCACATAATGAGTTCAACTTTTGTATTTAATCATGTAGTTCTCTGCTGTCATCATACATGAATGATAAGATGTTTTTCTAGATGTTTAATTTTTAAAAATAAGGTCTCACTACATAGCCCTGGCTGGTTTGGGGCTTGTAAATTGTAACAGTCTTCCTGACTCAGGTTTCCAGGTGCTTGGATCACGTGTGTGTGTGTGTGTGTGTGTGTGTGTCCTGTGTATATACACACACTTGTGTGTACCACCATGGTTCTAACTCTTCTCAGGAGACACACCCTGAGTTCTGATCAGGGTCTGTGGTAGCTCTGTGCAGGACTGCAGAGAGTGGAAGCTTCTGGAGAGGTGATGAAGGCCAGAATCCAGACAAGCCTGGGACTCGTACGTGTGTGAGTGACCCGGGCCAGGGCAAGCCTGGGCGGTCTGACGCTCCTCTCGGGAGAAAGAAGCTAGTGCCCACCTCTACCAGCTCACCAGTTGGGATCCCAGCCCCCGTGTCCTGCTCCT